TGCAAATGGCTCTGAGTAAAATACCTACGAATAACAAATGCAAGAAAACATACTTTCTCACTGGTCATTGGGCAATGGGCATGAGAGATGCCTCTGGAGGCTCACACAGAGAGCATAGGGTCGGAACATTTCCTAAATGCCATTACCTACATTCCATTCCAAACTGTCATGCAGCCTAAACCTTTCTGGGTATGTCTGTTCCTATAAAGGATCCAGATACATATTTTTAAATACCAAAATAATGGTAATGCACTGATGAGATACCTGTATTTTTAAAATACCCCACGTAGAGGACTTGGCAAACTGTCCCGGCCACCAGCAGGACAGGTCAGGAGGGCAGAGCTGACGGGTAGGGTGAGCATCTCCCCAGAGAGGCTGGCTCCCAGCCAGGAAAGAAGGAGCTCTGGGAGGTAAGGTCTGCAGAGCGAGGAAGCAAGGACTGAGGACATGGGCAGAGGGATGCTCAGATTTACAGAGAAGGACATAAGGACATCAAACAAAGACACCATGGACACAGCCCAAGAGGAAGATGCGGGACAGGCAGTTTCCAGAAGGGGAGTAACTTCCAGAGGGCCTAAGGGAGAAGAGCAAAGAAGTGTCACTGTGCTTGGCATTCGAAAGGCTGAGACTGGTCCTCTTTAAGCAATATCACATGCCACTTTGGTGGGTCTTTTCATACAGGAAGCTCCTTACTCTTCGCACCCAGGCATTACTATGCTTCCTTTAAAGAGAAGGAAACTGAGTAGCAGAGAAACTGTTTCAGAGCTCATCTGGGGCCTGCAAAAGGCAGTCATGGGACAGTGGGTACCTTCTAGAAGAGGACTAAAAGTAGCAGGAAGGAACAGGAAGCCACCCCGGACACACCCCTGGAACTGGGACTCCAGAAAAAGACGTCTCTGAGGTGACTGCCTCCAGGATTCTCCAAACACTCTGTCATGAAGCTGGGCAAAATCCGCCAGGCGCTACAGCCCTCCCTGGTAAGGGCTTCCTCTGTAGTGATTTTGGCCCAACGGGCAGGGGCATGTGTGTGTGACCAGCTGTCCCCATGGAATCCCAGGGGCTTGAAACACAGTAAACATCACCCACAATGGCGTCAGAGAATAAGGCCCCAGCCTGCCCTCCTTCAGCTGCAGCTCAAACAGGATCCTAGATAATGTCCTACAGGTTCTGCCTCATCGGACGTCAGTCAGGCCTTTCCCGTCTCCCCACTTCCCCATCCATGCCAACTTCGAATCCCAGCCTTTGCACGCCCCTGGCCCCTCCCAGAAACCCAAGTTGTCCCACAGGGGGGCCGTCTGGAGTTCTTGGCGCCCTGCAGTTTTGTGGGCCACCACATCCCAGGGAGGGACAAGCATGGTGGAGGTGAATCCCGTGTCACTTTCAGGGCCTCCTTGCCCGTGCCTGACCCCTGACCCCAGTGACTCAAACACTGCCTAGGACATGGTGGCAAAGTCACTCAGGACAGCCTCACAGCCACCACCAGTACCTTCTGGTGCAACCGCCACCCAAGGACTTCAGTCCTGGGGAAACAGCCAGCCCCACCCTCGTCCTCCACTCTACCCCGATTCTTTCACAGTGAGTCACCGACGCATCACAGAAGGGCGCGTGGCTGCACCCCAGGTCCACCCAGCAGGGGTAGAGGCCTCCTGGTGCAAGCTCTGCCCCGACAGCTCCTCCCTGCTGCTCCTCTCAGCCCCGAGGGGGGGAAATGTTATGCGGGGGCGGGGGGGGGGGCTCTGGCTTTTTTTCTGGTTTACATAGGAAGGCTTGTGATAATATTCGGATTAAAAAAATAAAAGAGGGTCCTATCACTTTGAAAAGGTAGAAAAGCACGGTTTCAGACTAAATGGGCAAATCAAAGTATAGGACTTGGCTACCAACTCCCGCTTGGTGTGGAACACATGCCTGCTTTCCTCGGGAACATCGGGTTCCTCTCAGCGGCACCTCACAGCGGCAGAGACCATTCACAGACATCTGCCCGGGTCTGACTCCGACACACCAGACTCCCCACTTCCCCTGTCAGGCTGGTGGGGCTAGCCATTATGGCCTTGTCCTTCACACCCTCCAGCCTGGGACGCTTCCTCAACAAGTGCCCCTTCTCATTCCTCATGTGTTAAGCAGTCCATGAGGCCCTGCACACAGCTCAGGTCCAGTTCCCTAAAAGGGACAGAAAAGGTGGCAGAGAGGGCAGAAGGGACAACCCCCCCCCCCCCCCCCCCCAGCGGCAGAGCACCCCCCGCATCTAGTCAACAACAAGTGTCTGGCTGGGTGATTCTGGGGATGAGCTTTTACCCCCAAACTTTTTCTTTGGAGAATATTCAAAGCTACACACAGGCTGAGAAAATAGTTCAAAGTACCATTATCACAAGTAAGAAAAGTTAACAGTTATTCAATAATATTGAATACGTGGTTCAGATTCAAAACCGTGTAATTATGCCAATATGACTTCAACTGATTTTTTTTTTTGATCCCGGATCTAACCAAGGTTCACTCATTATATTTGACATTAACTCTCTTTAGTCTCCTTTTGGCCAGCTGTTTTTGCAGAATGTCCTACATGTGGGGTTTCTTTGTTTCCTTATTTTTCGATGTAGCTGAACAAGTCTGGCATGAGTATCTCATAGGGGATACTGTCCACTCCTTGACTGCGTCACCATGGAAGCCCACTGATCAGGCTGCCTCCTTCCTGGGAAAGCTAGATGGGAGCTTTGGCTGAAATGCTGGCTACCAGATGGCACCATTTTGCCTATGGAGCCAGGAGGTAACCTATGAGGGGATATTCTGGGAGCATGTGAAAATACTGTCCCACAGCCACCCCCACCAGCTAGCCTTGGCATCCACTAGTGAACTGACCCGTGGGTTACTAAAGAGAGATTCTCGAAATTTATCAGCCAAAGTTCTATGAAACAGCTTGCCCTTTTTAAATCTCTGATGATTATTATACACTCATGAATCTTTTTTTAAATTATGCAATGTGTCCAAACATATTCCTGTCATTACTTTTTAATATTCACATTATTCCAATTTTGCCAGTGCAGTGCGACCCCCTTCAAACTGGCTTCTGGGTCCTTTGCTATGACCCCCGCTGTGTGAGTGTCCACCTTGTTCTCCGGCACGGGATGTCACAGGCTAGCTCTGGACTCGCCTTGCTCCCACCTGGAGCCATTTTTTGGGACTCATTCTTTCTCTTTAAGCAGGTAAGTTATGTCATTTTCTCACAGCCTGGTTCTAGTCCTAACCTCATTCTCCCTGCCTGCTTCCTCCTTCCCCTGTCACTCATCATTTGAATTACTACAAAGAGCTCTGTCCTTAGTAGAAAATGTGAAGAAGAAGGGCACAAGAGAAGGAGAGGAGAGACAAAGACCAACAGTAAATTTAAGGATTTTATCAACCATGTACCACTCAAAGGGGAGCTTCCTTTTTTACAGGGGGCTGCACTCGTGGTCACCTCCATAGGAAGGCTTGTCACTGTCTCATGATTCTACTTATAAAACTTCTATGACCGTATATCATTTTATTGTTTTATGCTTACACAAAATATATATACAGGAAAAATTACCACCTACCCCCCAATGCACTTCTCCCCTTCACTTGCTTTGTCTCCAACAGCACTCATTACCCTCCAAATTCTATAAAATATGATTTTTTAGGGGCACTTAGGTGGCTCAGTTAAGCATCTGCCTTCAGCTCTAGTCACGCTCCCACAGTCTTGGGATCAAGCCCCATATTAGGCTCCTTGCTTAGCAGGGAGCAAGAAGCTTTGCCCTCTGCCTCTGCCCTTCCCCCGCTTGTGCTTTCTCTCACTCTGTCAAATAAATAAAATTTTTTCTAAAAAATAAATTAAAATATGATTATTTAATTCTCCTTCTCCCCCTGACTAGGAGGTAAGTTCCGTGAGTTGACAGGCACTTCTTGCTCACTGCTCTGTTCGCTACTGTACCTACGGTGTAGCAACAGCACACTCCGCTCATACACATAGTGCCTGGAATCCATGAGGTGTCCCGTAACCATCTGCAAATGAGAAAAATGGCCTGCCTGGGACAAGAGGCCTAGAGACGAGGGGCACCTGGGTGGCTCAGTGGGTTAAAGCCTCTGCCTTCAGCTCAGGTCATGCTCCCAGGGTCCTGGGATTGAGTCCCGCATCGGGCTCTCTGCCTGGCAGGGAGCCTGCTTCCTCCTCTCTCTCTGCCTGCCTCTCTGCCTACTTGTGATCTCTGTCAAATGAATAAATAAAATCTTAAAAAAAAAAAAAAAAAAAAAGAGGCCTAGAGGCAAGCGGCACCTCCTACAAAGCCTTTGGGCCTCTGCTTCGGTGTCACCCCTGGCAGTCAGCTGTTCCATTCCCCGTGTTCCCAGAGCCCTCCTTGCCCTTCCGGATCCAAACACTTGAACTAGCAAGTCTACATTGCTCATTGGTCTGTCTCACCTGAAGAACTTCGAGCTCCTCTAAGACAAGGACAAGGTCAGACTTATCTTCACAACCCAGTGCTTAGCACAAAAATCTCTGCTGACCTCCTCTGCCCTCCAGCCAAGTGCCCTTGCCCCGTGCCCAGGCTGCCTGCCGGGCCCAGCCTCTCCCAGAGGCCTTCGCTGTGAGCCGGGCTTCCGCCTCCAGCTGCTGAGAAAGGCTCGGCTGCGGGCAGCTTACAAAGGGCCCTTTGACTCCACAGGACTGGGCTTTTTCAGGAGAAACCCGTTCCCTGCCATGGCACCCGTCACTAAGCCCAGTGTCCCGACAGCTTCGAGGCCTCCCAGAGCCAGTGTTCACCAAGAAACAAGAGCAGGGGCAGGAGGCTGGCAGGGCCAGTCAGGCAGGGCGGTCTGACGTCTGGGAAGATGGAAGATGGGGTGGCAAGGTCGAGAGGGCCTTTTCATCAGCAGAGTCGCTGACATTCAGACTCTGTGAATAGCCTGGATGGAGGGAGGGCGGGGGCCAGGGTTAAAATAAAAGGAGTGCAAAGATGAGAACTTGTCAGAGCTTTGCCTCAGAGACAGCTTACTTGTTCTTTTCTTTCAGTCTTCCTTTCACCTGGCTCTGAGGCTGGACTCTCGGGGGGGATGGTCAGCCGCAGTCTGCAGACATTTGCCTAAGAGAGACGCAGAGGAGAAGCCAGTTATGAACCCGCCTTTGAGGCAGAAATTGCTGAGTGACCTGGTGCTTCCCAGAGCCTGTTCCCCTTGCTGAGCAAGGAGGTGATGTCACCAACCCCACAGGGGAACCTGAGTCTAAGACCAGCCTTTGCCTGGCCCATATGGGGCACTCACCACCCTGATCCTCAAAACAAGGACATTACCAAGTAATTTCATTGCATTCAAACATTTTTTTAAAGATTTTATTTATTTATTTGACAGGTGGAGACATAGCGAGAGAGAGGACACAAGCAGGTGGAGTGGAGAGGGAGAAGCAGGCTTCCCGCTGAGCAGGGAGCCCCATGCAGTACTCAATCCCAGGACTTTGGGATCATGACCTGAGCTGAAGGCAGACGCCTAATGGCTGAGCCATCAAGGTTCCCCTCAAACATTTTTTTTTTTTTGAAAGGCTCAGGTTCCGTAACAACACGTACAGAATGGTCATAGTTCACATGCAAAGGTCAAAATATGCACCGGGTGTCTGGGCTGTAAAGGTGCTTTCTCCGGGGCTCCTGTCAGATCTTTCTCCAACAGACATAAATACACCTAAGCACAAAGTTTTTAAAAGTCCGTACCCTCGTGTTCATAGCAGCATTAGGCACGACAGCCCAAAGGTGGAAACAACACCAATGTCCATCAGTGGCTGAACGGATAAATAAACCGTGGTATCTACGTAGAATGGAATGTTATCTGGCCTTAAAAAGGAAGGAAATTCTCACACACTGTAACATGGATGAACCTTAAGGACGTTATGGTTCATGAAAGAAGCCAATCATACAAAGACCAATATCGTAGGGCTCCATGTATCTGAGCTACCTCAAATTGTCAAATGCACGGGGACAGAGAGCAGGATGGTAATTGCTACGGGTTGGGAACACAGAGGAATGGAGAGTTATTATTCAACGCATATGGAGTTTCAGTCTGAGAAGATACAAACGTTCTGCAGATGAATGGTGGCGATGTCTGCCCAACAAGACTGTACTTAATGCCGCATATGTCTACCTCACCCTAATGTCACAGCCCGGTCCTGCTCTGACTTCCCAGGGAGAAGGGATCGGGCCACTGGAAAAGCCCAAAAAGGGTCCCAGCAGCATGCAGAGTACCCAGCCCACAACCATGTGGGCCTGGCTCACGGGAGTGCTGCTTGTCCCTGTTATAGACCGCATTGTGTCCCCCCAAAATTCCTGTGTTGGAGCCTTACCTCCAGTAACTCAGAATGTGACCCTACTCAGAAACAGGCTCTTTACAGAGGTTATCCAGTTGAAATGAAGTCATTAGGGGTGGCCTAATTCAAAATGACTAATATCCTTATAAAAAGGGGAATCTGAAGAAAGACACACATGTAGGAAGACCACCACCACGGGAACATGCTAGAGAGAGAAGCCTGGAACGGCTCCCTCCCATACAGCCCTCAAAGGAGCCAACCCTGTCAACACCTTGATTTTCGACTTCCAGCTCCAAAACTATGGGATAATAGATGTCTGTTGTTTGAGCCCTGTGGTTGGCAGTACTTCTTACAGCAGCACTCGCAGATAAATATAGCCCCAACCGTGTTTGCAGGGTCTCGGGTCTGCATGGGTCCAGAGGGCGGCCTCTGAGCAGAACTACCCTGCAGCCTAGACACCTAGAATGGGATGGGACTGTAAGGATCTTTGCCAGCCTAGAAAGGAACCCCCACATGCACCCATGTACCTGGCAGGTGAATGCTGAGACTAAGGATAGCATCTTCCATCTACAGGTAAGAGCGCCCACGTGGGACACGTGTTAGCACTTCCATATACACTGTCACCTCCCTTCAAGACATCCCATTTTGCTCCCCGGTGTCGCCAACTTCCTGATGATGAACTGCATCTTCCCACAGAACTCCTATCTAAGGGACCCGGGGTTGCCCTCAGAGATGGCAACAGAATTCCCTTTCCTTTACACTGGCCTCCTTCCCTCTGAACCTCTTCTCCTCCGGATTTAAAAAACCCAGCTCCTTCAACTAAATGACTTGGTTTCATAATTATTCTCCATCCTCACTCTCTGCTGGGCAAGCTGCATCCCCCAGGGACCCCAAAGCGCTCACCGCCCCTGATGTGGCCAACTTTGCACTGAACCCTTCGAAACTCACTGCTAGTCTTGTTGGCCAGGGACAACCCACCCATTCCAGCCAGGAGGCAGTTCTCTTCACTGACAGCCAAGAGCACAGACGGGGAATCAGGTTTCCTCCAGGGGAAGGCAAACCCCTGACTTGGAGCCACCTGGACTGGTCGAAATGAGCTGGCATTTGCACAAACACCAAAGTGGGACTCACAGCAGGTAGGCAACCCAAGTCTGTGACGGTCAATAATCTTCTGTGATAGGCTGATCTAATCCGCAGCACTGTTTTGCAGAGAAAAGGAAGTGCTCTCCTCCTGCACCCCACTCCAGACGCACATGTGTGTACACATACACAAGGGTAAATACACGCACACGCTTGCACAAGTGCCCACACCTACAGGTATCAATGCCTCCTGGCTGGGCTGGCTATCTATGGGCAAGCTCTTCAATCTCTTTGAATCTCAAGTGAAAATGCAGATAAAGGGTAAATTGCTACATAGGAAGCCTCTATTGGTATGAGATATTTGTATTATTATCTAGATGCAACCATCATCCTGTAAGTTCCAAAAAGAAACAGTCCCATTTGGCTTTACGGTTATGCCTTTCATGAAACAACGATTTGGTCATGGATCTACTGTAAGTGATACCTTTTTGGAGGGTGACTGGTCCCTAATGTAACTTTCAGAATAAAGACTGAAGAGGGCACAAAGCCCAGAAGGGACTCCACTGGTCCAATCACCCAAAAGTGTACTGTTTCCCTCCCCTGTGTGAGACAATTCTTGATCTGTCCACCCAGAACCCTGCTATACCTCAGCATACTTCCCGCAGCACTCAACACTAAGTCAGGTGTACCCTGGGGGATGACAAAGCCCTACAAGAAATAGAATGTATTTCCCTTAAGCCATCAGTTTTCCCTGGTGAGAGATAATGAACGAACCTAAAAGGAACCTGTAAAATCACACATTTGACTTCAAAGCTATCTGGCAATGGTAGTGGGTTCTTGAGGTCAGAGCCAGCCCCTGTGTTCAATGTTTACTCTTGTCCTTAGAGGTGCTGTAAGGCACGGGCTACACGTGGGGCCAGCACTCTCTCATCAGTACTGACCCGCTGACGGACGGACTGCACAGACACAGTGGAAACCCAGCATGGAAGAAAATCAAACGCCTTCCTAAGATGGTCAAATGTGTTGTCATGTGGAAAAAAAAAAAAAGGAAATTACAGGGAAAAATGTGAATAATCATCCCATTTTTGTTTTTTAAATACACTCTGATAATTTGCATAGATTTATGGGAAAAAAAAACTTGAAGGAAACACAACCAATGGATGGTGGTGACGGTTGTCCATGTAAAGTGGGATTCCCACATTGAGTCCAACTCTTCCAAGTAGGTGTAAATTTTTTAATTAAAAATAATAGCAGTGATAGCAATAATAAAGATTGAGAGACACTGTATCTAGAAAAGAGAGAGACAGATCAAGCTTTCCTAGATCCACAGGAGTGCCTCATGAGCATCAAAGAGAACCACCCAGAGGTCTAGAAAATATCCTGAATTCCTCAACAGAAGCACTAAGTAACCTTTGAAGGAACCCACTAGGTTGACCTGGTGTAGTTTACCTCCCTTTATTCATTCATTTTCAGGCAATCTCCCCATGGGAAAATTTCCCCCTGAGTAAGATCAACGTAGGGTTGCTTATCTCCCTTAGCATTTTATGATGCTGATCTTTATGGTTTCCTTAAACTCTGATATATGATCCCCAGAGCAGCCGAGGCTGGGCAGTACCTGAGAAGGGCAGGGTCCTTTATTCCCAGGACTCCCACAGTAGCTGGCTCAGCCCTATGTTCTGAACAATGAGAAGAACTAAATCTTTCTTACCCTGAACACCACAGCTACTGGATTAGTTGTCCCTACAAGCAATGGTCTGTTGCAGTGAATCAAAAGCAGGAAGGTGGACTCAGTATATTTCATCATTAGGTTATGGAACACCCACTTCTTATAAAATACTATTAAGGGCAATGAGAGTACCAAGATGAAAAAGAAACAGCCATGTTCCCAAGAGCTCAGCATCCAAAAACACACCCAAACAAGACACATAGGAACACTTAACATTACCAGTAAAGGTCCTGAGAGGCAGGGGAACCTGGTGGTTAAGGCTTGGTGGAATTGCACTTCCTTACAAAGGAGTAGGAATATAAAAGGAACAACGGTCTTAATCGGAGGTGGGAGTATATCAAAAGCTCCTAGAGAGGACATCTGAGCTGGGTATAGAAAGACAGGAAGGACTTTGCGGTTCATTGAGGTTTGGAGAATCCATCATCACAAAAGCAAACAACTATGAGGCAAGGCATTTGCTCCAGGCCAAAGGCACAGATGTGAGAATGTTCTGAGAACATTAAGCAGGTCTACAACCTACACTAGAGTGGGGAAGGAAAACAGACAGGTAAGGGCCAAACTCTAACAAGCTACAAAGAAAGGCCTGATGGAGAAGCAAGGTCTCTAGTAGAAGACAATCAGGAGTCATTCACCTCTTTGCAGGAAGGGACTAACACTCAAATCTGAGTTAAGTGATCCAACAGCAGTTACTGGGTGCCTCCTATTACAGTCCATGCATTGCAACATGGATGGAAGGGGGGCTGGGAAATAGGGGAAGAAATCACGCAAGCTTTATGCTTAATTGCTTTTGTCACCCTTTGGGCTTAGTATAGTATCAACACATAATAGGCACTTACTCAGTAAATTACATGTCAGTAGGTGTTTCTTTTTTAGGTTGAAGTAAAACGCAGTAAGGCAAATATATCTGAAACTCCCCAGAGCGCCTTCTACTTTCTTCAAACCAACCCCCCTGGGAGGGACATCAAGGGAGGCACGGATACTATTCA